TCCTCGTGGTTTCCTCTGTTCAGGTAGACGTCGCACGGATAGACGAGCAGGAAGGAGAAGAGGATGAGGAGGATCTCGATGGAGTCCTTGCCCCGGTCCACAAAGTCTCCGTTGAACACGTATGGCCTCTCCAGAGACGGGACGCCATTCTGAGGGACAAACATGATCATCAGTGGGTTAAAGACCCTGATTCACTCCCAGCTACAACCACATCAAAGTTTAGCTCAAAWTCTGCCAAATTATCTGAGCTGTTTTTGTGTTGCACAGCTTTCATCACACACAGAAAACCTTTGGTGTTTAGTTTTTAGAAGAGCTCGCCTTGTAAAAGATCAGCAGCAGATCCTCCAGCTGTCCGTGCAAATCACCTGAGCAGAAAAATGCACCAGTTAAATAAAGAAACAACAGAAGCGTTTCACTTGTTTCCAGTCACCACCYCGCAAACCACGTCAGAGATCAGAACAGACGAGCGTGCTCTCACCACAGATGGTGATCACTTTGCTTTGGCAGGTGGAGATGCGGTTTATGTTGGGAAACATCCGGAGCAGCTTCCACGTCTCCAGGAGCAGCTGGAGGACGTAGCGCGAGTGCAGCTGCTACTGAGAGAGAGACGAGTCAGGGAGAAGGTCGCAGACGCCAAAAACACAGCAAAGKTTTTAACGCCGTGTTCGTTTTGCATTTTATAAAACAGTGTTCCTCCCATTTATTTACTTGTGGTCATTTTATTGTATTTATTTTATAGGTCATTTTGCATTTCGTAACACCTGCTTTTGAATGACATTTTGGTAACTGTGCTTTAGTTGGGTGAATGCCTGTTGGGGCATTCGACCTATTGATTTCATGTTTCTCTTTATTCTTTATTCTTCCGTATGTTTTTTTGGGCTCTAACTCCTTCCGCAATTTTTACGCTACTACAACAATTCATACATCAAAACTTTCAGCTCATTCAGGAATGGTTTGCTATGATTTTTGGTATTTCAGCTACTTTTTTTTTTTAGCTATTTCACTTTTTCGGCTACTTTTTTGCCATTGAAAATGAATGGGGCTATTTTCAACAACCTTAAAACCCTTCAAATTGTTCTTGAATCTTTACAAAACCTTACACTGATTGTTCTGGTTATGTTTTACTACCTTGTGCAAATTTTAGCTATTTTATGCTAAGTTTAGCTACTTTATGCTAATTTTAGCTGTTTTCTGCCATGTCAGCTAAAATTCTACTTTTTGCTATTCTTCTGCTTTTTTCTGCAATTTGTGCTAATTATGCTTCTTACAGATGCTTTTTGCTATATTCAGCTACTTGCAGCTATTTTAGCTAATTTTTGGCTGTTATTAGCTAAAGTTAGCATTTTAAGCTAAATAMATRTTTTTGTAGCTCTAACAACTTTTTAAGCTAAATTCAGCAAACTTGTGCTCGTTGTGCTTCCTTATGCTAACTAAAACACTTGTAGCAACTTTTTTAGCTGTTATGCTAAAAACTTCGGCTGTTTTAGCATATTTGCCAGAAATTGTCCCTTTTTAATAGTTTTATACAGTTTTTTCTTCCAAGTTTAATTTTTCACAACTTTTTCAACATCTGGTTGCCAATTTATACTAGTGTCTACAACATTTAGCTTATAATTATGCTAATTTTAGGTACTTTTATGCTAATTTTAGCTGTTTTCTGCACTTTCTGCTAAAATTCTGCTTCTTTTTGCCATTTTTCTGCTTTTTTCTACTACTTTGTGCTAATTATGCTTCTTACAGATGCATTCTGCTATATTTAGCTACTTGCTGCCATTTTAGTTAATAATTTGCCTTTATTAGCTAAAGTTAGCATTTTAAGCTAAATACATATTTTTTTAGCTTTTTTAACTTTTTTCTGCTAAATTAAGCAAACATCTGCTTCTTGTGCTAACTAAAACGCAGCAAAGTTTTAGCTGTTACTTTCAAATTTAACTTATAATGATACTTTTGCTAATTCAGCTCAATTTCAGCTTCTTCAGCAGCTTTCAGCTTAYATTTTCAGCAACAGGCATTCACACTTGCATTTTTGMAGGAAATGCAATTTCTCTAGTTATTATWGGGCTTTTAAGACTCTTGGACAACCTTTTTAGACTTGTGTACCCCCKAAGCCATTTTGTCATACTAGCACCCCCTCTGTCAAAAMGTAATGATGATTCTCTARAACTATAATGTACAACAACTGATTATTAAATGAAATTTATTTATTTAAYGCCCTAGAACCTTTAACTCTCAGGCATTTTATTCTTTTCAAATCAAACGTTGCCTTGAAAGTGAATAAGTGATTAAATAAATTAACCAGGTAACGTCAGGTGCAGGAAGCAGCAGCGTCCAAAATACATTGAATTTTCCAAAATACATCAAAAACTCGACCAAATGAACAAATTCCAAGAGATTCCGCATTTTATACTTGAGTCCATTTTGTGTCAATTCCGTGATTTCGCCTGCATTTTTGGCATTGCTGAAATCATAGGGCCCTACATATTCTAGTCCTATTTTATTATTTTTTTTACACATCTGGGAAATTTTTCCACGTACCCCCTGTAATATGCTCACGTACCCCAAAGGGTACACGTACCCCTGGTTGGGAATCACTGCTCTTGGACATTTAATTTTTTTCCTTAGATTGCCCCATACTCCGTAGCTAAACAAAGATGCAGCGTGAAGCCCGTCTCTCTGCTTTGCCCCTACTTTCTTGTTCCTGAAGGCCTCCAACAGGCCGACCGCCTGCTCCACCGTCAGRGGGAAGGTGAGATGTGGTCCAGTGTAAACCTCTGGCACCTCGATGGTCTGGTAGCAGAAGTACCGCTCCCATTCTGCGTCCAGACACACCTCGTGTTCTCTGAATATGTGCGAGATCAGGTTTCCTGGAAGGTGTGGACACACAGCCTGAAGGTCAGGGGTTCAAGTAGAAGGAGCAGAAATGATCTGAGTGTGGAAAACCTTACGTTCAGTGCTGGACGGTGTGAAGTTGTCCATGAGATAGCCGAGGAAATTATAAAGCTGCACGGTGGACAGAAGGAGGAAGATGAGGTGGAGCTTTGTTTTTTTATTTTTTTATTTTTTATTTTTTAGGAAGCAGATTGGATGCTGCGTTAGTGTCTCACCTTGATCTGGGCCTGTTGTCCGGAGTATTCGATGGACTGGAAGATGTGCCAGGTGTATCTCCGCCTCATCTCTGTGCGGGCGACGTACTGACGGTACCATCGCTGGATCAGGATGGCAGCTCTGATGGCTGCAGAGAAAACAGTTTTTCTGCTCATAAACATGATTAAAAACTCTCAAACACAATCTTTTAATGATCACAGAATGTGTTGTGAATGACTCTCAGCTACTACCACACCAAATATTAGCTTTATGTCTGTAAAACTGACCGACTGACTGGCATCTTTTCTTTGGAATAGGTTCAGCTTCACATATTAAAATATCTCATTGACTGATGCGATATTTAGCTAATAGGACAAACAAATGGGTGGCACCGATGCAACTTACTTGTGACGGCTGCATGCAGCAGATCAAAAACACACACAAAAAAACAGAATTTATGATTTAGTTTGAATATTTAGAAACAAACATCTCATTATTTTTGAAAATAAGTATTCATGATTGTTGTTTTTTACCTTTCCTGGAGTTTTTGTTGAACTGGCTGGACTTTGAGACGCCACATCCCATGACTGTTCCTGTTCAGACCATGACGACAGAGAAAAAGCCCCCCCCATGTTGTTCATATCTGTGAGTGTCCTTTCGACAAACACGATACAGTAAGGATGAAACATTCTGGAGCCAAATATCCATTTTTACATGGATCTTTAAAGTGCCTGTGACATGTATTCTTCATATACAAAAGGTCAAAGAAAACATATTTATACGCAAGAAACTTGGCATAAAACACACAATGTTTGCTCTTTTTGTTACATAACTGGCATCTTTTCTTTGGAATAGGTTCAGCAAAAGTGAAACAGGAAGTGACATCAAAAAGGAACTCTTTCAGAAAGAAAAATCTCTGGTCTTTGCTTATTGAAACAATGTTGTTCAAACTCTGACTCTTCTTCATCTCTCTCTGATAGTCATTCAAAATAAATTGAAGAAACATCAAATTCTTGTCTACGTCCTGTGTTGTGGCATTTTAATAACACTCTGTTCACATGCAGACATTCCCCTTTGACACATCACTTCCTGTTGCTTCGCATGCAAATATCTCAACAACAGTTCATTTGAGTGGTGTAAAACTTGTTTTGTAACAGTGGCGTCACTAGGCCTATTTTAGGGGGGCTGGAGCCCCCCTAAAATATTTTGGTGTAAATTTTTTTTCCAAAAATTCAATGATGTGGTCAGATTAAATAACCATTTAACATTTCATTATTAACTAAAATATATGATCATAAATCTGTCAGTCTCCCTTTAATTTATAGTGTAAGGTAGAAATCCTCTTTAGTGCGTCGTTATTCAGTCCATTCCACTTGTTCATAGAGTACTCCTCCCACCACATAAAATCCAGTCCATGTTTTCCTGCAACCTTAATAGCAAGTTTACACACAGAGCCAGCTAAGTGCAGCATGAAGGCTCAGTGAGCAGTCCAGGAGAATGCTCAGTGAAAAGTGGATATACAAAAGTTTTTCAAGAAAGTAAGTATTAATCGTCACTGCTGGTAGTAACCATAAACGTAAAGAGTAGATAGACGGACTGCTAATGCTGCAGTCGAGCCGCGGGGCCGCCATCTTGGAAAAAACGTTTGCTCAATGAAGTATCAGCCTGTTTAATCAATCACAACTCGCTGAAAACTAAACTGTTTTACACACTTATTTTTGCTGGAAACACTATATATATATATATATACATATATACACACACACACACACNAACTGGTTCCAAATTTGGGTTTAACAAACATTTCTATCCCCTTGAGATAACAACTCTCTCTTTTAACAAAGTGTAATTGGATGTTTAAAGGTAATGTGTTTTTAATAGCCCTATATGTGACGGATAAAATACCATAACCAAACCAAATCATTGAATTTCAATAACTTCAACTGATGGAACAATGAATTTTTGATGGGTGATGGTAATGTTTGATGGTGATAATTCTTACAGCTCTTTTCTGGAAAATAAAAWTAGGATTTGTAATTGTTTTGCATGATTTTCCCCAAACATCAATACAGTAGATTAAGTGTGGAACAATTATTGCATTATATAATATAAACAGACCTTTATCATTAAATAAATCCTTTTACTTTGTACAATACTGCAATGGATTTGGCTATTTTTGTTCTTAAATGCTTTTTATGACACCACGCAGTGTTGAAAGAAGTATTCTGAAAGCCCCACCCTCTTCCATCTCTTGTCAGACAGACCAGTATTTTCATAGCAAGGAATGCTGGGTRATCTTGTGCAATTATGTGTTTTGCATGTATGACTATTAAAGAAGATCATGAGAGCAAAAATTAGTTGTTCTAGTTAGCTGTCTTGTTCAGGTTGGTTAGTTATTCAAGTTCAAGTTGATGTTATTGACCATAAATCGACACCATGAGTGAGAGGTACTTCCTGGTGTGTGAAGGTCGACTCCATTACACTTATCCAGAAATTACTGWGTAATGTTAACGCAACACTATAAAGAGTTAACCTTAACTCCAAAGAGTTAACTCTAAACTTACACTTTCAAATTTGCCAGGGACACCTCACAGTGTCTGTTTTACACCCATCTACACAGCAAAAAAGTAAGTAAACACATTAAAGTGTCCAATTAACACTCAAAGGAGGGATATGAACCTCCAGTGTTAACCATCAATAACTCAATGCAGTGTTGAAAAGCATGAGAATCAGAGCTGATTTGTCACCACAGTGGAGTCATTAATTCTGCTTAGAATCATTTTTACTCTCATCAGAGTTATTTGACTTGAAGTGTTAAGTTTTAATAATGCTGTACAGTGTTAGTCAGTGTTAAGTTTTAATAACACTGTACAGTGTTAGTCAGTGTTAAGTTTTAATAACGCTGTACAGTGTTAGTCAGTGTTAAGTTTTAATAATGCTGTACAGTGTTAGTCAGTGTTAAGTTTTAACAACACTGTACAGTGTTAGTCAGTGTTAAGTTTTAACAACACTGTACAGTGTTAGTCAGTGTTACGTTTTAACAACACTGTACAGTGTTAGTCAGTGTTACGT